GAAGAACATCCTGGAATTCTCTGCTTCAGCTCCCTGCAGATAAAACCACAACTCTGAAATCTCTCTGCTTTTTAATTGTCCATGCAGCCCACAAATAAATGCTCTTTTGGACCCGTGTTTTGTCTTTATTTTCATTCATACTGGAAATTTTTGGGAAGGAAATGGAGTCATTATGAGCCTTCATGTGCTCTCAGCTGTGTTGTAAATGCAGTTTTCTCTCTTCACCCTGTCACCAACAGGACCTTACTTAAGCTGGCACAGCAAAAATGGGAAAATAGGGAAATATTTCAGTGCTTCAGTCTGGATATTGATGCTGCTTTGAGGATCCATCTCCCAAAATATGAGAGATGTGACATTTCTCCTTTTGAACCAGCACGTGTTCCCTCAGCACCCAGCCCTCACCCAACACCACAAAACCAGAATGATTGTTGTTAAACACCACTTATATCTTTGCAGCAGGGATGGAGCTGGTTCCCAGAGCAGCTTTTTGGGGCACAACAAAGCTCAGCTCAGCTGAGATCATCAGGTGGCCTTAGGCGGGGGACTGCAGTGAGGCCTAAAGTCAGGACCAGCTTAAACCCAGCTCCTGGGGCTGTTGGGTCCAGCCTTGCTGCTCACATGGGCAGAAATGCAATTAAAGCAATGAGACTACAAATTAATAAATTGTCTCCTTCCAAATGGGCTGGGTTTTTTTTTGTTTTCAGGAGTTTTATTTGTCTGGAGAAGCTGCCCCGTCCCTGGAAGCGCCCAGGGCCAGGCTGGAGCAGCTCGGTCTGGAGGAAGGGCCCGGCCCATGGCAGGGCATGGAAAAAGTTGTTTTTTAAGGTCCCTTGCACCCAAAGCACTCCAGGATTTGGCCAAGAACCCTCTCAGTTGATATTTAATTGTTGGAACCAAAAGCAGAACATCAATTTAATTGATTCTGGGAGATAAGAGCAGCCCCGGGATCTGCCGTCAGATGTTGCGGCCTAGTTTGGAGGCCTGATCCAACAAGTAAACAAAGCTAATTAATGAATCTTCTAATTAAGCGGTCCCTGATAGAGCTCAGATGAAAGAATTGGCTGCCTGCTTTCTGCAGCTCCTGTAATCAAGAGACAGAACCAACTCAAAGTGAGCAAATTGCTGCTACTGTGTGCAGAAATTGGTGTAAATAATAATAAAATAATGAGCTGCCCAGGCATTTGCTGTATCTGGCACCAACAAAGCAAACAGTGGTTCAAAGGAGATAAATTAAACACTTATTTGCATTTCTTCTGAGTCTCCCAGAGAGTGTAGTTCAGTCCTTGCAGACAAAATTCTGCTTTGGTTTGGAAATTCCTGTGAGTGTTGCCTCATATTAAAAGGACTGCTTGGAATATAGGAAGAGTTCCTAAAATGTGAGATTTTGTTCCAGTTCATCGAAATAGATCAGAGCATTTTCTTTTGCCTGTTTTAATGCAACTCATCCAGACACTTTGATATCATTCTAGATAAATACATAAGACCTGACATAAGAGCTATTGAACATTTTTAGCTGTGGGAGTGACTGATTCCCCACTCCCTCAGAGCTGGGCTTTTATGAGGTAAAAAAATAATTTTTTTTAAAAAAAGGAAAAACAATGTTTTTGCTTTTCTGCCTTTTTTTTTCTTTTTTACTCAGAACTGCTTGATTTCTGTGCAAATCCCAACTAAGCAGGCTCAGCTCCTTCTGTGCTTCTGCAATAAAAGCAGCAGCAGACAATGAAGACTCCACCCAAAACGCCCCTGTTGCAGTTTCTGATGGGAAATTCTTTGATTAAACAAGGATAAAAAGGCGAACCCCCCCCAAGTTCACTGGGGGCATTCAGGGAATTTCCTGGTGCTCAGTGAGGCCCAGCACAGGGCTCAGGTCTGAGCTTTTCCTTGAGGAAATGCCAGCTGCCCGTGGGGATGTGTTATTTGTGGATGAAGCAGAGGAAAATGAATGAACAGGAATGCTTTGCCGTGGAGTTGCTGCTTTTCCTCGGGCAGCAGTGGGATTTGGAATAATGGAATGGTTTGGGTTGGGAGGGACCTCAAAATTCATCCAGTGCCACCCCTGCCATGGGCAAGGACACCTCCCACTGTCCAGGCTGCTCCAACCCGGCCTTGGACACTTCCAGGAATGGGGCACAGCTGCCTTTTCATTTCTGCATCATCCCTCAGAATAATTTGCATTATTTGGGTCACCCAGGGAACGATTTCAAGAGGTGAACCTGGGTTTGGGATTCTCTGCCTGAAGTGTTGGTGACCTGGGGACACTCACAAGCAGTGAGGGATCAGCTCCAGCTTCACCAGGGGCAAAGGGGGACAATGCTGAGCTGCTGCAGGTGAGACAAGTGGCACAGGCCACTCCATCCTGGCTGGAACCAGCTCTGCTTTATCCCCTTCCTCTGCTCACAATATTGATTTTTCTAACACACATCCTGGGGCTTGATTATCCTCTGCATTAAGGCAGAAAGCAACTAAAGGGACACAAAGGGAAGGGTGGAATCTGGCAGCATTTCTCCTGTGCCTGGAAATACGAGTTTGGGGAGCAGGATACCTTCAGGAGTGACTTTCTTTTCCTTGGAGTACCAAAGCTCCATGAATCCCACGGAGTTTCCACCACTGCAGGGTGGCTGCAGACACCCATCCTCCTCCCCGTGCTCCTGGCACACAGCAAAGGATTTTCCACTCAAAAAAAAATGTGAATATTAACAGCCTACACTTACAAGGCTTGTTTTGCTGGGATCTGAAGCGCAGTGGTTTTTACAAGCTGAGGTACATTCCTTTATTAATACATGGCATAAGAAATGATAGCATTAATAATTAAATCTTGTGCTCCGGTTGCTGTAGGGCAGATTAGCATAAATCCATTGGCATGAACAAGGTGTTTCAGTTTGCAGGAGCTGACTATCCCAGAAAATATCAGCTCCCTGAATCCCTGACCAACATGCTGGGAATCCTGTCTACAGTGTCTCCATTTCTCATTTCTTCCCCTTTCAAACCCAATCTCTGCTAAAGATAAAATAGATTAGCACAGAAGACTCTACCTGTGCTGCTCTCCTTTGCATGTTCTGAATAATGAATGGCTGCTCTGACATGCAAGAATGCAGCCACGACTTGAATTTAAAAAACAAATGGTGAATAAAAATCGAGGCAGAAGCTGGGCTTGCAGTGCTGGCTGCTGAGAGCAGCTGCACTGATCTTCAGGGGACTCTGCAGATTTGCAGAATAAAGTCTCCCAGCAGCTCTGCTGGGATATAAGTGACACTTAAGCCTTGATGAGCTCTTGGTACAGTTCATTCCACCCAGAATGAGCTCCGATGAGCAGGGACTGCAGCTTTGTACCTCTGAGAGGCCGTTGCCCTTCACAGCTCAATGATCCTCATGTTTAAATACCCTGAAACTCATGGAGAAGCTGTCACACAACAGGTGATGTTCTGTGTGAGGTCACTGGAAAATAGCAGGAAATACATTAAATCCACCTGGCTCTACCTTTCCTAAAAGGCTGCTATTAAATAAACATTTATTTGTGCCAAAAATACCCAATTAGCACTGCAATTACTGACAGGCACATTAATTCATACACATTACAAAGTCCTTCCCCTTTCTTTGGGAAGCACCTCAGCATTTTTGTGGTAGCTAATAAAAGTCCACCAGTCTTTACTGACTTTTATTCCTTCCTTGAGAAAACTTTGAAGAGTCTGTTTTGTGATATATTTGTCCTTCTGACTCCAAGAGGTGAATTCTCACTGTCTTTTTGAGCCTTCCATGCAGTCTGTGCTCAACACGCCTCTAATTTACCTCTGATAAATCTCTACTACATAAATACCACTTTGTTTTAATCAACCAGTGGTAATAGCCTGGCCCAGAGGTAGCTGCAATGCAGCTGTTCAATTTAATCTCTGTATTAGCCAGATTAGACAAGGATAAATATCCTGTCCCTGTGATCCATGTATCAGACAGACTCGGCTCCAGGGAATCTCAAAGAACCAGGTATCAGCGTGTTTGCCAGGACTGAGAACCACCCTGTGTCTGCTGCTGCTTCCATGTAATGAAAGGACAAACAACACTGCCAGGCTTCCCCTGAAGTGCCCAAGGCAGGTTGGATGGGCTTGGAGCAACCCGGGACAGTGGGAGGTGTCCCTGCCCATAGCAGGGTGGGCCTGGATGGGCTTTAAGGTGCCTCCCAACCCAAACAATTCTGTGATTCCTTGATGCTATAATTAATTACCTGGTTATTAGGGACCACTTGTAACAAAGGGCGTGGGGAGGATGCAGGGGCTCAAAGAGCACTCATGCCTTGTGCTAACTGCAAACTGAAGGGAAAAAAATATACTATTTACATGTTTGGGGGTTCTGCAGCCAGGGTTGGGTGTCCCACAGCCTCACCGGGGCAACCTCAGCCACAGCCTGGGGCTTGCAGCACATTCCCGAAGCTTCTGCCAGGGCAGCTGTGGAGGAACAGAGCAGGGGGTTTAAACATAGCCTTGGCGGGCTGGGGGGTGCAGATAGACCTGAGGGGAGATGGATCTGAAAGGGCCAGAGGTGGGCCTGAAGGGGGCCGGGAGATGGGCCAGGAGGGCCCGAGGATGTGCCCAAGGAGGGCTGAGACAGGGCTGAGCCGATGAGGCGAGGCCGAGCCAGGGCTGTTCCAGAGCAGGCCGGCCACAGCTCCCCGCGCCCGCGGGGATGCCCGGAGCTGTCCAGGCATCCCTTCCCTGCCCTGATGGCCGGAGCTGTCCAGGCATCCCTTCCCTGCCCTGATGGCCGGAGCTGTCCAGGCATCCCTTCCCTGCCGTGATGCCCGGAGCTGTCCAGGCATCACCGGGGCGAGATCCGGCCGGTGCCGCTCAGGGCATCACAGCAGTGAGGGAGTGAATGCCTGGATCACTCCGGGCATCACCTCCCGCGGCGGTGCCTGGACCACTCCGGGCGTCGCCTCCCCGCGCCGATGTCGCCGCGCCCCGCCCCGTCCCCGCCCGGAGGCCGCTCCGCCCGCCCTCGCCGCGCATAAATATCGGGGTGCGGGCGGCGCCCGCCGCAGAGCCGTCGCCGGAGCCCCCGCAGCCATGAGCTCGTACGGGTACGACCCGTTCTTCCCGTCCTACAAGCGGCGCTACGCGGACAGCCCGCGCATCCATGTGTCGGTGCGCAGCGGCGGCGGCTTCGGCTCGGCGCGCTCCGCGTACTCCAGCCTGTCCGCGCCCGTGTCCTCCGTGTCCGTGCGCCGCAGCTACGCCACCTCCAGCGCCTCGAGCTCGCTGCTGCACTCGGTGGACAGCCTGGACCTGAGCCAGGTGGCCGCCATCAGCAACGACCTCAAGTCCATCCGCAGCCAGGAGCGAGCGCAGCTGCAGGACCTCAACGACCGCTTCGCCTGCTTCATCGAGCGCGTCCACGAGCTGGAGCAGCAGAACAAGGTGCTGGAGGCCGAGCTGCTGGTGCTGCGGCAGAAGCACGCCGAGCCCTCCCGCTTCCGCGCGCTCTACGAGCAGGAGATCCGCGAGCTGCGCTTGGCCGCGGAGGAGGCGACGAGCGAGAAGCAGGCGCTGCAGGGCGAGCGGGAGAGCCTGGAGGAGACGCTGCGCGGGCTGCAGGCGCGCTACGAGGAGGAGGTGCTGAGCCGCGAGGACGCGGAGGCGCGGCTGCTCGAGGTGCGCAAGGGCGCGGACGAGGCGGCGCTGGCGCGGGCGGAGCTGGAGAAGCGCGTGGACAGCCTGCTGGACGAGCTGGCCTTCCTCAAGAAGGTGCACGAGGAGGAGCTGGCCGAGCTGCAGGCGCAGATCCAGTACGCGCACCTGTCCGTGGAGATGGACGTGTCGGCCAAGCCCGACCTGTCGGCCGCGCTGCGCGACATCCGCGCGCAGTACGAGAAGCTGGCGGCGCGCAACATGCAGAACGCCGAGGAGTGGTTCCGCAGCCGCTTCACCGTGCTCAGCGAGAGCGCCGCCAAGAACACGGATGCCGTGCGCGCCGCCAAGGACGAGGTGTCCGAGAGCCGCCGCCTGCTCAAAGCCAAGACGCTGGAGATCGAGGCCACCCGCGGCATGAACGAGGCGCTGGAGAAGCAGCTGCAGGAGCTGGAAGAGAAGCAGAGCGCGGATATCTCCGCGCTGCAGGTGAGGGGGTGGGGGCTGGAAGGGTCTCTGCAGGGAGGAGGGTCGGGGTCCCTCAGGGGAGGGGATGGTGGGCTGTGCAGGGTTCTGCGGGTCAGGAGAAGTTGGGGTCTGAAGGGTTCTGAAGATGCGGGGATGATGGGGTTTGAAGGGTTCTGCAGGTAAGAGATGATGGGGTTTGCAGGGCTCTGCAGGTGAGGGGATGATGGGGTTTGCAGGGCTCTGCAGGCGACGGGTCAGGTTTTACAGGGTTCTGCAGGTGAGGGGTTTCAGGGTTTTCTGGGCTCTGCAGGTGAACAGATGGACATTGGGGTTTGAAGGATGCTGCAGGTGAAGGGGTGGATGTTGGGGTTTGAAGGATGCTGCAGGTGAAGGAGTTGAGGGTTTGCTGGGCTCTGCATGAGGAGAGTTGGGGTCTGCAGAGTCTCACAGATGAGGGGATCAGGTTTGTGGGGGGGTTGTTGGGGGCATCCCTCCTGGTTTGTGCCTGTGCTGCAGATAACGCATCCTGCAATCACAGTGCAGAATGCCACAGAGCTGTAAAGCAGGATGTGGTGTGGAAATACCAACCCAAATCAGGATCTGAATTACCAAAATCATCCCAGACATTGGTTCTGGTACGCTTATCTAAAGTGAGAGGTGTTACAAAATCAGAATGCAAAATGCCCCGATAAAGCCCAATATCCATGTGTCCATGTACTGATGCAGCCTGAACTATACCAAAAAATCATGGAATATGCCAAGTTGGAAGGGACCCACAAGGATCATCAATGGATATTCCTAAACTAAAATTAGAAAAAGCACATAGAGGCCAAAATCATAATGAAACAATACACAAATTTTACGGATGCTTTAGCACTTGGGTACCAGAAAATTTGGCTCTTTGTGTTAAATAGGACTGGCATAATGTGGAGTGGAAAACCTGCCAGGAAGGTGTTAAATGATGCTTTTTGGCTGAGGATGGAGGGGGAGCTGTGCAGTTTCTGTCTGCTAGAGCAAGACTAAATTAAAAGGATTGGAGAAATTCCTTGTGATTATTGCTAGACTTGAGAGAACAAAATTTTACGCTGTCACTATTGTTCCATCCAACAGGATACAATCAACAAATTGGAGAACGAGCTGAGAACCACAAAGAGTGAGATGGCTCGGTACTTGAAGGAATATCAGGACCTGCTCAATGTGAAAATGGCCCTGGACATCGAAATTGCAGCTTATAGGTATGGTGGGGGATGTTTTAATGAGCCAGAGCTCAGAGCAGTTACCATTCTCTTCAGGAGAATTCAGGTTATTTATCTTTCCCCCAGCAGAAATTTTCATAGATCTGTGGCAGAGTTTAATCAGTTCCTCCCTATGTGCACACAGAATTTTTAGCTTTGCAATAAATTACCTCAGTTGTCCATCCTGACAGATAAAAGTACCTGTTCTGTACTCGGGGAAGAGATTTTGTGTCAATAGAATTCCTCAATACCAATGGCTCATTCTCAAAATAGGAAGTCCCTCAAATGCCTTCAAGAACAGGGTTTTTCCCTAACTTATAAATCAACAAATTAAATATTTTCCAGTAGAATTGATGCTAAATAACTGTGATATTTTGTCTCAGATACTGAGAGATTTCGATGCTGGAACAGAATTTCTGTGGAAGCCACAAGGGGGAATACTGAGAGAGCAGCTCCAAGCCTTGTCCGAGAGCTCAGCAGCAAATTGTTACAGCTGCAGGGCGGCAAAATACACCTCTAGTTTCACTTGCCAGAGGGACCTGGCTCTAGAGAGGTTTTCCTGTTCCTTCCAACAAGGAAAGGTATTAATTCACCCACAATGGGCACTCCTGAAGAAATTATTCCAGGAAACTAGGGTGGCTTTGGCACATAGTGCACAACTAGCCCTGCATTAATTACCACATGTGCAGTCTGCAGGGCTCGTGGTGCTGAGCCCTGCTGCAGCACAGCCAACTCATTTCCCTTGGCTTTTATTTCTCCCCGCTAGGAAACTGCTGGAGGGGGAAGAGACCCGGCTGAGCTTCACCAGCGTGGGCAGCATCACCAGTGGCTACAGCCAGAGTGCCCCCACCTTCGGCAGGTCTGCCTACAGCGGCCTCCAGGCCAGCTCCTACCTGATGACCACCCGCTCCTTCCCCACCTACTACTCCAGCCACGTCCAGGAGGAGCAGATTGAAATCGAGGAAACCATCGAGGCTGCTAAAGCAGGGGAAGCCAAGGCAGCTCCTGCAGAAGAGGGTGAGGAGGAGGAGAAAGAGGAAGGAGAGGAAGAAGCAGGAGAAGAGGCTGAAGAAGAGGAGGAAGGTACTTAGCGTTACTTTTTAATCCCTTTTATTCATGCTGCACCCTGCTCCTGTGGGATAAACCTCAGAAATCCCAATGATTATTTCTTATGATTAAAGCTCTTTCCCTTTCTAGTCCTATGAGCCAAAGGATGGTGGGGTTAAGCACATGGAATTTACCAGGAAAGTCTGAATATTGAATGGAAGATAAGGTCAGGTGTTCAAATCAGGCAGATCAGACGTTTCCAAAACTCCCAATGATAATGTTCAGGTGTTACAGACATCCTCAAAAAGAAGGACCAAGGACATCCTGAGCTAAATATGAATTCCCAGCGAGCAGCCCGAGATAATGGGAACATCAGCTGATGTGTGGGGCTGGAATTACTGGGTTCAGTGCATGGCACCATCACTCCCCTGCCAGGCATTGGTGGCCATTGAACTGTGAGGGCTTTGTTACTGTAAAGTTTAATGATAGTGAAATTACACCTAATTAAAGAGCCAGTTGGAGAGCAGTGAAAGATAATTCAGGTCTTTGGATAAGGCTTTAAGCACTGAGTCCAGAACTGATATTTTTCAAGACCATGATTTGTTTTTCTGAAGTGTTTCACTCCCCCTGAAATCCAGGAGAAACTGCTTGTGCAGTTTTGCTGTAGCTGCCAAAATGTGTGGGGTTGAAGGGGATTCCCACTGAACTGGGGTCAGGAATTGTACCTGGATGTGAAAAGTCTTTGTGTCCTTCAAAGGTGCTAAGGAGGAATCAGAAGAAGCCAAAGAAGGTGAGGAAGAGGAAGGAGAAGGGGAAGAAACAGCAGCAGAAGAAGGGGAGGAGTCCCAGGAGGCTGCTGAGGAAGCTGGTGAGGAGGAGAAGGAAGAGAAAGAAGAGAAAGAAGCAGCAGGAAAGGAAGAGAGCGAAGGCAAGAAGAAGGCTTGATCTGAGGGCAGCTTTCCATCAGAACCAACGATGGGCTGAGCTCCAGCTGCAGTCTCACCTATTTAATTCAGTGATCACTGAGGTTCCAGTTCATGATTATGACGTTTCTCCCTGTGCAGAGTCTGAGTTTGCTTGCAGAGCACCCAAGGCTTGCTCCCCGAGTGCCGCATGGTTTCACGTATGAGTTCAGGGCTTCTGTCCTTCCTGGGTGACCCAGAACCTTAACATTTCAAATTGGGGGGGGAAAAAGTGGTGGGAATGAAAGGTTACCTTTAACTTGCATTTAAACTAATTCTGGAAACGGTGGGTGGGGGAAGTGATGGAGGCTTCATTAAGTACGTGCAATAAAGCAGTCAATAAAGTTCAGAAATGCTTACACGGATTCCTCGTGCATGTCCTGTGTCGCTGATGCCCTTAAAAGGTTGATAAAGGGGTTTATCCCATTCATCTTGTGAATGAGAAATGGGAAAAATCTCTTGGGGTGTAAAATTTCACACATTTTATAACAACACCCTGGGGGGTGGTGGTGGCTGGGATGGGTCTCACTGGCTGAGGGTGCAACAAGCACGAGCTCCCTTCTGAAAAATGGGAATTTTATCAAACCAATACAGAGGGGAAAAGAAATGCAGCAGTTAAATTGTGGCAGGAGGCTGTTCAGTGTCTGTGGGATCAGTGAGGAGAGGGAAGAACAATTCAGGGTGTAGGTGAGGCTTGGAGCGACGACTATCTTCAAAAATAACATTAAAATCAAAACACGAGGAGCAGTTAGAAGGATGGATGGTGTAGGGGAAGGAGCTGCCTCTCTCCCCCAGGTGCTGTCAGCCATGTCTGAAGAAGCTCATTTTCTTCTGAGAACTTCCCAGGGCCTTTTAAAGTTTTGACTGAGCTAAAAAAGGCACAAGAAAGGAGCATCTCAACAGCAGCACAGCCTGACAATTCCCCAAGCCATGTCCTGTGCTCTGAGCTTGTCAGTGTTCAATTGCCTAAAGCTGATACAGAAAATTAAACCCTGTAAGGCAAGCACTGGCATAATGCTGCAAATTAAACCAGTTTAAATAAACTAAACCCATGGAAATTCGAATTAAAATAGGCATTAATGGCTGCACTAAACTTTACAGAAAGATTTGTCTGGATGAGTTTTTGCACAGGATTTTGGGGTAACTTGATTTTATGCACTGGTGGTGTGGTATCAGTTGATTTGCATTGGTTCTCCTCAATGGCTTTGTTCAGAGGGAAAGGAAATCTCTTTTTTATGCAAGTTTTAGGGGGGTACCAAAATCATCTCCCTTTTCAGTGTTTAAAGGGTGATTAAAAAGATTATGATGGATGAAGCAAGCACTTAAGATTATTATTTTCTTCCACATTCCCAAGAAAAGCAGCAAGAAAAAGAAGAAGAAGCTTGGTCAAAGCATTCAGAAAAGCAGGAATTCCATTAACTCACAGCTCCAGTATCATTTCCAATCTTTATTTCCCTACTTTCCTAGGATTTTGATGCTTTTGAGATCCAGAAGTAAAATAATTTTCACTTTCTTCAGCAACGCCTCTTAAATATTTCTTTTTACATTTCCCTCGTCTTTTAACGGAGATTTTTCTCCCTGTATTTACGCAGAGCTGCTGTTACAAAGCAGATTTTATTTTCCCTCTCCAGGACAGGGCTGAGGGGAACTTGCAGTGCTCTTCACAGAGAGCTTCCAGAGCTGTTGGGGATGGAGGGGAGCTGCTCCCGTGGGGTGTGACAGCCCCAGCTCCCCCAGCAGACTGTTGGGGCTGCTGCTCAGAGATAAGAAATGAAATGAGTGCTGCTTCTGGGAAATGAGAGCTGCTTCTGGGAACTCCCCCAGCAGGAAGGGACGCCTGGCACTCAGCTGGGAGAGAGGGGCTGCTGCTGAGGAGGAAAATCCTGTTCCAGCCCTGGTCAGAGCCCGCCAGGACCATGACAGGCAGAGCAGAGCTGGACAGCTCGGCTGGAGAGAGCGCTGGCAAGGGGTGGAGGGACAGGACAAGGGGAACGGCTTCAAACTGACAGGGAGGAGGTTTGGATGGGATATTGGGAAGGAGTTCCTTTTCAGAGGATCTTGAGGGGTTGGGGTGGAATTTCCAGAGAAGCTGGGGCTGCCCTGGAGCCCTGGCAGTGCCCAAGGCCTGGACAGGGCTTGGAGCAGCCAGGGACAGTGGGAGGTGTTCCTGCCCAGGGCAGGTGGGACTGGATGGGCTTTAAGGTCCCTTCCAACCCAAACCATTCCAGGTATATCAAATCCTGCCTTTCTCCAAGCACTCTGAGCTCCTTTAACTCTTCAAACCCCAAATTTTCATCCTCTTTCACGATGTTTTTTTTTTTGCTGACAAACTCCTTCCCTCAGCCCTTTGCACCCCTCTCGGTTTTGGGAAGCAGAGCTCCCTGTGCAGCCAGGGCTGCTCCAGAGCAGCACACCCCGAGCTGCAGCAGCTCTCCCCTCCCTGCTGCCGTCGTTCCCAGGCTGATCCCTGCTCCCTCGGTTATTTTTAATGCATTGCAGCTCCGCAGGGCTGAGTCAGCCCCAGCAGGAGCTGCAGCAGGGCTGGCTCTGCAGTGGCCACCAGGCTGGGCCCCCAGTCCTGCCCTGCTGCCCAGCCCGGTGCGGGGAGGCTGGGCTGGGTTCCTGTGCCCCCAGCTGCTCCCGGGGGATGGATCCTGCTGCCAGCACTGCCTTACCTTGGAAAATCCAGGCGCTGCCTTTGACGCAATGCAGTAAAAGCTGGCAGAGGGAGGCTCGGGAGAAACTTTCACCCCAGTTGCAGCTGCAAGTGAAGCCAGAAGTGTCCTGGGGGTCTTTTCTGCTCTTTGGGTCTGGATCAGGCTGAGATCTCATCCCAGGGAACGCCCAGGGAGGTGCTGGATGCTTTCCCTGAGATGTACTCACACCCCCTCCCAGCCCTCCTCTCCCCTCACAAGGGGAGCACCTGTGCAGAACATCCACATCCCAGAAATTCACCTTCTAATAACTAAATAATTAACAGCTCATTATTTGCTGCCATGCCAGATTAGTTAAGGATACTTTCATCCTAAAAAAGCAGCAGTAAAGCCTGAATGTGTATGGGGAGAGCACAAACTCTGATGACTGGAGAAAATTCTGGTGCCTGACTCAGCTCCCTGGCAAATGCATCCTGTTTGTGTTTTGTAACGCTTCCCAGTTTGTTCCCACCTGGAATTTTGTTCCAGGATGCTGAAAAATAACTGTGGTATCTCCACAACCCAGCACAGGAAAAAGATCCTGGTTTGGAGCCCTCCAGCTCTTGAAGCCATGGTGGTCTAAATATCCCACCTTATAAAAGATGCAGAAATCTTCACTGTAAATTCCTTTAATTATTATTTTTCCCTTCATAAATTTTTTTCTATTGTTTAATGAACTTCTTTGTCTGAAAATAATTATTCCCATCACTGGTTCTGTGCAGTCTGGAGGAGTAATTGGTGCAGAACAGGCAAATAACATCCTATTTATGCCTCTCTGCCCGGGAATTGTGCTCTCCTTTGAAACCGTTTGATTGCAGATGTCAGTAGACAAAACCTCTTGGCACCATTAAATATTAATCAGTTCTTACAGTTTTATAAACATTTAGAAATGTGTTAACCACTTGCTTGTTCCTCTTAGGACTTGCTGGGAACATCTGCAGGGGGAAACGGGCTAAATACACAAATCCAGTGTGTTGGAGCAGGGGGAAAAAATACTCTTGTGGGTAATAACTAAAAGCTGTGAGATATTTTGGGTGGGAAAGGGGTGAAATGAGGATGTTGTGAAAGGCATCTAGCCAAGGGTTTGCCTCCCAAAAGCACCCAGGGAATGGATGCACCCCAGGGTCAGTCCAGCCCCTCATCCCAGCAGCAATCCTGGATTGCCTGAGTGCAAACAGGAACAAACCCACACAAATCAGGATTTTGGGGTCCCTGGAGCTGTGTCCTACCAGGACTGGAGAGAAAGAAGCTGGAAAGGAATCCCAGCATGAAAACCAGCATGGCTGGGCTCCCACCTGCACACGTCCAGTGTTCCCCAGTGTCCTGCTGACACCAACACTGAATCCACGTGCAAGGTGACCCTTCCTCTCTGTGCTGAAGATTCCCAATTTCCACTGTGAAGGATGAGTTTTGCATTTTTGGACATTTTAGTGGTTTCTAGAACTTTTTTTGGAAGCACATGCACATAATTCCATGTTAAATATTGGTCTCTGGTCTAGTGCTGGTGTTCTCTTGAAAATTTTGTTTAAGGTCAAAACACCTTCAAGTCTCACAAACCTTTGAGCACTTTGTGTTTTGACACAATTTGATTTGGATACCAAAACCAGGGGAGTGCTGAACTCCTTATCCCTAAAGGTAAAGTTATCTTTGTGTCACACCCACACGGGACTACGGAGAAGCTGCTGTTTAATTTGTGAACTCTGCTTTAATTAAACATCACTCAGCAGCCAAGCTGTGGAGCACAGATTCCCATTATTGATAGCAGCAGGAGAAACATCCATTGGCTTGCTCTACAAAGACACCCAGATTCATTTGGAAGCCTTATCTGCTGTGGGCTCTCCACCACTTCTCCAGTGAAGAATGTGCTGAACCCTTTCAATTAAAACCTCCTTGATCTTCAATTATTGATGGGTCGAAGGCATATGGAAATCCTAGATTTTGATCAGACCCTCAGTCAGGCAACAGATTTCAGGGTAGTCCATGACCTGAATCCAGGCATGAAAATTATTTGCATTTCTTTGTGAGTTATGGGAGGTGGGGCAGCAGCTGCAATCTTAATTTTCCTTTTAAAATGGGAAATAAACACACAAATAATCCTATAATGACCAATTAATTCCCACACATTGGAGTTGGGGCTTTATCTTCTTCCCTTTTTTCTCCTTTTTCTCCATTTAGCTTTCCACATAGAGCATTTTTCAATTGGCTTTGTTCTTTACAAAAGAGCAAATTAACCCCCTTGGGTTAATTTTTGATTTTAGAATTTTGTATTTATAGGCAGATTGAACTTTTTGATCACTGGACCCAGAGAATTAATAAGGAGGTTCCCATAAAATTAAAGCAAGAGGGGGTAAAATAACCAGAAGCAAGCCTGCTCTGAGGACCTCGAGGTGGCTTGGTTAAGTTCCCTTAACTGGTTTTTGCTCAGTTAAGTGACAAACTGGTGCCACAGAAGGTGCCACACCCAGCCTCTCTTCCCAGAAAAATCAAGGAATTATTTGGAAATTGGCCTTCTGTGTGTGGATGTTGGGGCGTAAGGAGGAAAACAATACTTGCAGCAGATTTTAACATTATTTTGGCTCAGCACAAGCAGGATTGAGGGCTTAGAGTCCTTCCCCTTATTAAAAATAGCAATTGCAACCCTTCTAAGCACCTCAAGGCCAGGCAGAGATGTT